TTATCAGGCCGAGTTTTATATTCAGTTGGTGCTGACACTGTGCAACCTGATTTAAGATGGTCAATTGTTAATATTATTTTTACTTCATTTGATTTCAGTTGTATACATATGTATATTTTCTTCCGAGTCCCAACCAGAGACCTATGGTCAAGAATGGCTTCATGATATTTTCCACTGATCGTTTTTGTAAAACACAAAACAAAAACCTAAAATCACACACATTTTAGATAGATAAAGCTATTCGTGATGTGTGATCTGTACTGATTATCATTATTATTATTATTATTATTATTATAGTTTTTCTCCCAAATCTCTTTATTTTTTCGTTCTTGCTGTTTTTATTTGTTTCATTTTCTTTTTTAATTTTGGACCAATCAAAAGACGAAGTACATTCGAACTGTTTTTGCGATTATAACTGATTTTATGTTAAGTTGAAATTTATATACTTTTAGCTGCTTGTATTTCAGTGAAACTCGAATCCTTTCTAAGGAGAATGAATGAACCTAACAGCAGTGTTGTTAATTTATAAGAGCACGTATTTCAATTTTCCGATGAATCCTAATTCTTAAGTTTTGAATAAAATAATTTTCAATTTGAATAAACTCCTTCTGTGTTACACAACTATAAGATATCAGTGGAAATTCGAAGTATGATATCTGTCAAAATATTTCAATAGCAATCATTATATCATTATTTAAAGAAGTAAGAGGGTACAGAGATTAAAAATCGACCCGGTTTTCTATTTCATTGAAGCAGACATTAAAAGCATGAGAGCGTTATCACATCCTATATCCTCCCTTTCTTTCTTTCTTTCTTTCTTTCTTTCTTTCTTTCTTTCTTAGCATGTTTACTTTATTTTTCTATGTAAAACCAAACAGCATATAAATATGTTCTTTCTTCGCAATCAAAACGGAATGGTCCCTACTTTATCTCAGGCGGTGACAGTGAATAATGTACGTGCTAACTAACTGTTAAGCAAGCTGGATTAAATGATATGTTCAATTTTTTATATAAAGTTATTTGTCATGCTATTTATTTAAATATTCATAGATTTTTATATATATATATATATATATATATATATATATGAAACTTTCTCCGATTTAACCAGTAGAGAAGACAATATTTATGAATAAAATGACAATAGCAGTTGCTAGTAACATTCTGTTTTTGTTTTTATTACTTACCTTGTTAAATTATATTCATTTCATATTTTGCTTTGATAAAGTCCACGAAACGCGTCAGCAATTACTAGTTTTCCTATTGTCATTTTTATTCATAAATATATATATATATATATATATATATATATATATATATATATTGCCATCCACAGACAGACTGTTTCGCTATATCACAGCTCATCAGTGTGGCTAGACATTCGATTGACTCAAGCCAGGATCGAAACCCGACTAATTTAGCATCAGTCGGTGATTTTTTCCCCTAAACTATCGGCTTTTATTTATCTCTCGTTTTCTCCTGGTCAGTGATTTCTAGTCGGTTTGGGTTGAGAGATGAAAGAACTTCAACACAGGGAATGTTAACTTAGCTAGTTTATTAACGTCGACGTATACATCTTCTAACTAACCAGTGTGGTCGCCTCCCACTCCGCTGAGAAGCAGATTCCAGACATAAAAGTCAGTACGTCTATATTGCTTGATATGTAAGAATCGACTCATTGAAAATCATTTCCATATCTCTATCATTCCCACGCTCCTTTAACCAATCAAAATCAACATCGTTGTTTTGTCTTCTATCTGATCCCTAAAGTCAACCCCAGGAAGTGCGAGCAGAGATACACTCCGCTAAAAGTAATAGTAGTCTACTAAACTATTATTTAACATATATATATATATATATATATATATATATATATATATATAAATCTTTGTATATATATATATATATATATATATATATATATATATTGATATTTGCCTAAACCTGTATTTATTAATATTTATGTGCTTTACATATATATCAAAATTTATATTTGTTTATATTGATATATATTTACGCATATCTGCTGATATTTACATTTCATAATTGAAAGAAACGGACAATCTGTTGTTAACTGGGGCAAGAAATGGCTTGTTTAGGTTACCGCCTCCGTCTGAGATAACCTATTTTGCCTTTCTTCTGCATGCCAGATGTTAACCTCCAAAGAATGGTTCCTTGCTCCTCGGGTTAACGTTTTTCCGTTAGCATGAAGGGGAGTGATTATATTTAATCAGTTGCTCGGGCGGCTGCTAGGAAAGTTTGTTCTCGGTGTCGTGAGAGACTCTTTTTTTCACATTAGAATCTATCTTACACATTTATAAGTCTACTATTCCTCTATGCATTGAATATTGTTGCCACATCTGGTCTAGTGCTTTTGCTATGTACTTAAACATTCTTGATAAAATACAAAGAATAATCTGCAATTTTATTGATCCTGACCTGGCATCTCGGCCTCAGTCACATTCTCACCGCCATAAAGTAACTTTTTTATGTCCTTTCTACAAATACTTTCATGGTAATTGTTCTGATGAAATTTTTGCTATGGTATCTAGAGGTTGTGAATTTAAGCGAAGTACTAGATTGGTGTCAAGGTCTCTTCTTTTGTTCCTCGATAGAGCTCTGACGAGAGAAGAATGAAAACCTATTAAACTTTTTTCTCTCCTTTTTTTTTGTCTGCAATGTCTTTGAGGATCTTTTGTTCGAGTCGAGGTTCCTCTACGATGAACTCGGTGTGTACTGGGCTCACTCCAGATGATACAAAAATAGATTTTGCACTCGTTATCCCACCAAACAATCTGAATAAGCAGATCTGTCAGCAAGTTGATCTGAAAGGTTAACTCTTAGCCACCAGGTGCAGATTCGCGCCTCACAGGATGTCAGCAACTGCACCAAACATATAAAAAGGTGATCAACCCAGCTACGTGTAGGATGTGCACTTCTGGGGCAATCGATGATATGAAGATATATAAGCATCTACCTGAGAGGAGAGAGGTGAAGATGTCAGAATCTTCGTGAGAAGAAGAATCGAGGTTGGGAAAAGACCTAAAACCATACACACACTCGCCAAAGTTAAGTCCGGCGTTGAATAGACAATAATTTTACGTACGATGGACTTAGATTCATGTTCATATTAGTTTGTACAATGATAACATTGCACAAAGATAACGTTCGCATTAGCTGAACTTCCAAAAATGTTGAATAGAGTCTTTTAATTTGATCGCATTTTTGATTCTTTCACCCCAAGCAAAGTGGAAATGCCATTAGTACGCATAGTAAATCAGAGGGAGTAAAAGTGAGAGAAAAGACTGAGTATTGAGAGGATTGAGGAAAGGAAAATAAAGGTGAACGGGATTCAAGAAGATAGAAGATGGCGATTAAGGTTGCATTTAAATTTTTGAAGATTGTAGTTATCAGGGAAGCAAATAAGCGGAAGGGAGTTCAACTGGCGGGAAGTGCGAGAAAAGAAACTGTTGGAGTAGAAGTTGCGGTTGTATCTAGCGATTTCAACAATAAACGTGTGGGACCTAGATGCTAATCTAGTAGCACTCTTAAATTCATGTAGTCGGGGTACCAGAGAAAAAAAGATCGTTATAGCCGTTGCACTGAAAATATTTGTAGAAAAGACAGGGGGAAGCCACTTCACGTCGGTGAGAAAGTAACTAAAGTCGAGATGTCACGTCTGGATCGATTACATTGCAAATCCTTCTTTGGATTTTGTCAAGATCCTCTAGATGAATAGCAGGAGCACCAGATCAAATATGGCAGCAGTATTCAATGCACGGCCGAATGGTAGATTTGTAAATGTGCAAGATGGACTCTGACGAGAGAAATTTTGTGGCACGACACAGTGACCCAATTTTCCTTGCAGTAGATGCAGCAATTGATTCAATGTAATCGCTCCACTTCAAGTCAGTTGAAAACGTGAGGCCAAAAAAATACAGTGTGTTGCTCTCCTGGAGTCTAGCTTCAGTCATGTTAATGACAGGCAGAAAAGTTTCTCTGTGGTGATTAAATAAGACCATTTTTTTTATAATAGCGTATCGTTTTTATTACTACACGTCTCGCCCGGTGTTGTTCTTTTATAGCTTTTCGTATTTTTAACCATGAAGTCTTTCTTATAATGTGTGTATTTTTGTTACACCTGACCTGGGAATTGAACCAGAGATCGTGGTTTATGGTCATATCATGTTGAAACCCCGGTTCTCGTATGATCGCAGAAGTTAAGCAATGCCAAGACTGGTCAATTGAGGTGATCAGTGTTACAGTCACACAGTCACCAGCCTGATAATTATGCAGCTGTAACGTTGGTGATCATGGCTCTACACAATTTCCTGTCCTTTATAGCTCTTAATAAATTGTCTTTTTGTTATCGCTCTTAAAGATTTCTTCTGCTGACAACCATACATTTTCTTTTAGTCCTTTCTTTTCGCTTCTGTCAGGGTTCTTGTAGTTTCCTTTGTGTATCTATTAACAACACTGTGTCATCTGCATTATCTTATATTGTTAAGATTCTGGCCGCCAATAATGAATCCTGATAGAACTTATAATTCACTCAGAATTGCCTCACTGTGTAGGTCGAATAAGTCCGGTGAGAAGATACATCCTTGTCTTACACCCCTTTCTATTTTTGTATATTTACTGAATTCACTTTCTCCCCTCCTGTTTTGCTGCCAGTGTTGGTTGTGGATTATTCTAATATCCTTTCTAAATATGTCAGGGTTACCTAGGAGTTTCAACAGTTCTTTGTGACATGTTTATGTGTGTATAATAATTATAAATAATAATAAAAAAATATAGTCTCGCCCGCTGTTCTTGTTTCGTAGATTTTTATATTTTTAACCATGAATTCTTTCTTACGATGCTAATGTATGATCACCGAAGTTAAGCAACGTCGAGTGTGGTCAGTATCTAGATGGGTGACCACTTGTAAATACCAGGTGCTGTAATCTTGGATGTGCGAGTGGTGTAATTGATAATGACTCGGAATTGTTAATTGGAGATCCGAGTTCCCGTACGAACACCAAAGTTAAGCAACTTTGAGCGTTGTCAGTAACGAGATGGGTGACCGCTTGGGAATACCAGGTGCTGTAAGCTTGGATGTGCGAGTGGTGTAATTGATAATGACTCAGAATTGTTAATTGGAGATCTGAGTTCCCCTACGAACACCAAAGTTAAGCAACTGGTCAGTAACAAGATGGGTGACCGTTTGGTGATACCAGGCGCTGTAAGCTTGGATGTGGTGTAATGGATAACGACTCGGAATTGTAAGAGAGGTACTGACAATAGTGACAATCCTTATAGACGGATAATATTATACTTAGAACCACGATTGTGGTTCTATATATATGGGCCAGATAAAGTCCAATAGTGAATAATGACCCACATGTTACAAGGGCGAGTTTAAAATTTAATTCCAGTTTTTTTATGGGTGATGAGCGACGTTTGATTTCCAAGACTTCCTCTTCTTTTTTTTTTAGCTCTTATCAATATTTGTGTGTGTGTGTGTTTTTTTTTTTTTTTTACTATCTCTCCCATTTCCTGTCCTGTCGTTAGATTATATTTTTTTATCATTTCACCCCAAACAAGACGATAATGCCACTAAGACGCAAAGGGGCTACTGGAAATGCAAGAAAATGAGAAGACTTTAGAAGGAACCTGAAACCCAATCCTAAACAGGAAACAAGGGATAAACTTCTAGTCCTGTTCAAAAGACCGGGGAGGAGTGTGAACTGGGCGATATAGATTACTCATTGTTTCTCCTTTGTCCCTCTTGCCTTCAAAGGCTTACGGCCATATCACGTTGAAACACAGGTTCTCATACGATCACTGGTGTTAAGCAACGTTGAGTCTAGTCAGTACCTAGATGGGTGACCGATTGGGAATATCAGATGTTGTAAGCTGAGGTGTGCGTTATGGATAACGGCTTGAAATTGGAAATCGGAGAGCCGTGTTCTAATTTCAGTCGGTTTCGTTATATCCATTTACGCGAAAATACCCCTAGAAAAGGTATGAAACTACCTATTCTCACCTTATCTATAAGTTAATTACTAGGACTTGTATCATTAAATCATTATTATCTCCCACCTCCCCAAAATCTAGAAATATTTCCTTGCTTTAAATAACCCTCAAAAGGGTTGATAATCCGTAAAAACAAATCTTGCTTCTTCTTCGTTCATTTATTTTCTCTGTCTCTCACGAACAAACTGGAATTCAAAAACGGAGCAAAATATATTATTCGTTCGTGTATCAATATCGTGATAATTAATGCGCATGCGTAGTCGCATCAACGTAAACATCACTTTAGTCCCATGAAGTCCTAAAGAACAAAATGTGTCACTGGAAAATTTTTTCCAACTTCCTCATAGATTTTGCCTAAAATTGTCCTGGTAGATATATATATATATATATATATATATATATGTGAAAAGTGAATATAAATATAAATAAATATATATATATGTATAATTATTTATATATTATATGCGCGGTACTTATTCGTTTGTCTGACGATCGCTAAAGCGTGAAACCCAGGGTCACAAACTCACATCTATCCAACCAAAATAATATATATATATATATATATATATATATATATATATATATATTTAGTTGGATCAACTAAATATGTTAGCTCTATCACTGATATTGAGCGCTTTCCAATGCTTTTCCACGCATATATAATATATAAATAATATATATATAAAATTGCATATATATATATATATATATATATATATATATACATACATATTTCACACACACACACACACACACACACATATGCGTGCGAACGCACGTTTGTGTGCGTGCGTGTGTGCTCGCGCTCAGCAATGGTTGAAAGGATCATGGGACTTTTAGCCAGCAATAAATCATTAATACTTGCGAAAACAGTTGGAATGTCAAGTGATGGAGTCAATATTTCCAGAGTGTTGACAACGACAAGAGTCTGGGAAAATATGAGAGAGAAGTGAGTTGGGTGGCAGGCGGAGCAGAGGACAATAGAAAAGCTGGACTGGTTTAAAAAAGAGAGGAACACACGCAGACATATCTAAATGAGAGAGAAATGGTGAGCCATACAAGAGAACAGTATTTGAGAGGAATAAAAGAAAGGAAAAGCGTGTAACACTGAATCGATTAAAAGAGAAACAGTGATGGTGGAGAAAGAAAAGAGAAATGTATAGGTGAGTGAGCAAGTGATAAGGAGGGAGAGGAAGAAAAGTTAGAAGAGGGGGGAGTAAAAGAAAGACTAAAATATTGGAGGTGTAGAAGGCGTGAAAAAAAAAGGATTAGGACAAAGAGAGAGGAGGATGTAGAAAATAGAGAAAGAAGGAATGAAAACAGAGAAAAATGAATAAACATTTCGAAGAGGCACACAGAAACGAAAGACGGTAAAGAAAGAAAGAAAGAAAGAAAGAAAGAAAGAAAGAAAGACAGAAAGAAAGACAGAAAGAAGGGAAACTGACGAGATCGATTGAGGATGAAGAGAATAGAAAATGTATAAGAAATAGCAAAAATCGACGGAGATGAAAAAGCGTAAGCCATGTTTCTTTGGATGAAAACAGTGAATTGGACAAGTGAAAGGATATATTTATTAATAATATAGACACTGCTTAGATGAATAAGAAATATTCGTCATAGTCGGGATAAATTTAAAAAAAATATAAACTGAGAGTTTTTAAAAAATCATACGAAGCAAATCGTTTGAAAATATTTAAATGTTTTTCAATTCTTAAAGATGTCCTGAGCATATATGAAAAATAAAAAAATCAGAGCGATGGCAGAATTCACCGTGTATTGAGCTCTGGATACAATGGTCCATTTGTTGACTGAAAAAAAGATGTTTATAGCCTTCTGGCACGGGTGATGTAGACTGGAGACTGCGAAAGATCTGATAATTATTTCTCAGAGCGGTGGTGACTTCGGTCGGCGAAAAAGAGTTGTTTGTTTAATTTTAGTGCAGATGCAGTGTGAAAAAAAAGCCTTTTATTTCCTTCTGGTACCGATTGTCCGCTTGATGGATGAAAAAATGCTGTTTTCTTAGTTTTATTGAAGATCGTTCGCTTTGTGGGTGAAAAAGAGATGTTTATTTCCTTCTGGTAACGATGACCCGCTTGGCGGGTGAAAAATATCTGTTGAATTCTGTACCGATGGCCCGCTTAGCGGGTGAAAAAGAGGTGTTGAATTCTGTACAGATGGTCCACTTGGCGGGTGAAAAATATCTGTTGAATTCTGTACCGATGGTCCGCTTGGCGGGTGAAAAATATGTTGAATTCTGTACCGATGGTCCATTTGGCGGGTGAAAAATATCTGTTGAATTCTGTACCGATGGCCCGCTTAGCGGGTGAAAAAGAGGTGTTGAATTCTGTACAGATGGTCCACTTGGCGGGTGAAAAATATCTGTTGAATTCTGTACCGATGGTCCGCTTGGCGGGTGAAAAATATGTTGAATTCTGTACCGATGGTCCATTTGGCGGGTGAAAAATATCTGTTGAATTCTGTACCGATGGCCCGCTTAGCGGGTGAAAAAAAGAGGTGTTGAATTCTGTACAGATGGTCCACTTGGCGGGTGAAAAATATCTGTTGAATTCTGTACCGATGGTCCGCTTGGCGGGTGAAAAATATGTTGAATTCTGTACCGATGGTCCATTTGGCGGGTGAAAATATCTGTTGAATTCTGTACCGATGGCCCGCTTAGCGGGTGAAAAAGAGGTGTTGAATTCTGTACCGATGGTCCACTTGGCGGGTGAAGAATATCTGTTGAATTTTGTACCGATGGCCCGCTTGGTGGGTGAAAAATATCTGTTGAATTCTGTACCGATGGCCCGCTTTGTTGGTGAAAAATATCTGTTGAATTCTATACCGATGGTCCGCTTAGTGGGTGAAAAATATCTGTTGAATTCTGTACCGATGGTCCGCTTGGCGGGTGAAAAAGAGGTGTTGAATTTTGTGCCGATGGTCCGCTTGGCGGGCGAAAAATATCTGTTGAATTCTGTACTGATGGTCCGCTTGGTGGGTGAAAAAGAGCTGTTTGTTTAATTTTAAGAACACTTCAGTATAGACCCATCAATCTCCTCTGTATCATTGGTAATCTTTTTGAGCCTATAATAAAAAAAAAGGTTGTTGAGAACTTAGATAAGAATAGCCTCTTCATCGACAAGCAGTACGTGATTCGATCTCCCCGATCCACTGCTTATGTCCTAACATTACTCACAGAATCAGTGAGACTCTTGATAACAAATACACCTAAAAAAATGGCATTAGATACTTCGAAGGCCTTTGTGGCACAAAGGATTGCTACTCAAACTCTCTAGATATGGAAGAGTTTTCTCAGTTATAAAGCACTTCTTAACGGATAGGTTCCTAAAGGTAGTTGTTAACGTCCAGTTCTCCGAGGCCTTAGCAATCAACGCGGGCGTCCTCCAGGGATCACTTCTCGGACCAACAATTTTTTACTTTATATAAATGATCTGCCTGAGTATGCTCAGGTCATTTGTGACTATCTATGCTGATGATGTGACGATATATGTATGCACCTCCAAAACTCGTGATGACTGATGATCAGAGATTGGCAGCTGATCTCTTATTCGATCTAGCTCTAACAGCTCAGTGGGAGAAAACTGGCTGGTTACATTCAATGCCACGAAAACTAAACATTTCATCACCGCCGACGGGAACCGAACTACGACCAGTCACGATGAATGGATGCCCCCTCGGGGAGACTCCATGCCTTGAGAGACTATTCGGCCTTAAACTCACCCCTGACATCAAGCAGAACGCGTACATATGATCCATCGCTAAAGATGTAGCAAAAATGGTCAGAGAGGTACAGAAAATTGACCATTTTTGCTACATCTTTAGCGATGGATCATATGGGCAGTTCATGCCAAATATGACAACAGTACTCCATTTTAGGCCTGATCTGACTCCATGTGCTATTCTCTACCTTTACAAGAGCCAGATCAGGCCTAATATGGAGTACTGTTGTCATATTTGGCATGAACTGCCCAGTCTCCATTTTCCATCATCGATAGAGTTCAAAAGCGTCTCTGAACCCTTGTAGGCGACAAATTATTTTTCACCTTCCAACTTCGCTCTGACAGGCAGGATGTGGCAAACCTCCCACGGCTTTATCGCTACGTCCATGGACAGTGTTCGGACTAACTGCATTCCTTGCTTCCGGCAGTTATAACTTTCGCAGCCAGGAGCCACCATATCACTTACATTGTAGCAAACCACTCACATTCCCTCCATATTTCATTGATGAAAAGAAGTTCCACTCGAGCAGCTTCTTCCTGCGAACCACTGCCTTGTGGAACCGACTCTCAAGAAGATATTTCCCTGATCATCACAATATAACCTACTAGCAGCATGGCCCGGCGTTGCCCGTGCTTGATTAAAAAATAGTACGACTAATACAGCAATCGCTATCACTTGACTTAAAATATTTTTGCCCTTCCTTGCCTTTAGAGGAGTGCCCTTTGCCGTGCTGATGTTTTTACATGCCTTACTTCTTGCCTATATCACACTGCCAACTTTTTCTAAGCTCTATAGTAAACATTAAATCTGTTACGAAAAAAGAACTAAACAAAATAAACACAATACGATCAGCTTTCAAAAACCGGAAAAAAACACTTTTAAGGGTTGACCGATTGTCGATTTGCACTCTGTTGGGGGGGGGTGCTCAGAGTTGAAACTTCACATGGTGACTCCCAATGGCCTCTTCATAAATCCGCTCGGTTTTCGCTAAAAACCGACATGCGGTTCAGATGCAATCTGGGCGTATCGGTTTTGGGGTTTTATCGATTTTCCGCGCTGTTTAGGGGTCCGTGGTCATGAAACGTCTGGGCAACACTTCTAATGGTAGACTCTAAGAGGCTGTCAAATTTGGTTGAAATGCA